AGCGACGTTCATATCACGTGCCTGGTAGTTTAAATAACCAATTCATGTGTGATTATCACTTAGCATGACTTCCTAATAATTTTATACTATTGTTTTGAATATAACTGAAATAGAGCAAATACTTTCAACTAAGACCTGATTTTTTTCCATACGGACGCATTGCCAAGCACGAATATCTCTCGCTAGGGCGCTAGCAACCATTTTATAGATAATGATAATAAATCGAGTTGATCTCTTACATTAGACCTGAGCAAGTCAGTGATGGAACGTGTCTTGCATGCTTCATGAGCGCTTCATGAGTTGCTTTACTGGAAATTTATATTTCAGTGTATCACGGTAGAAATAAATTTTTTTTAAACGTCTCATAGTTTAGTGCCAAGTATTGAATACAAAATTAGAAGGCAGATTATTGAAGGCTCGTGGAGCAATAGCAATACAAACCATTTAAAGTCTGCAATCTTTCACTCCAGTGGACTTAATATCGATTGCAAAAGACAATTTGCAGTGCATAGATGTGGTTCCGACTGCCTGTAGAATTCGTTAGTAAGTGGCAACGGAATGTTGTTGGAAACATACTAACCCTAAGAGTTAACCGAAACGACAAATGACCAATTTCTATGCATTATAAGGTACACCACCCCAGATTACTAAAGTTTTTGATAGTTTTGAAAAAATAATGATTAGAAAAGCGTTTTTAATGAGGGAAAATGTAACACACTTGATGAAGCATGCGAAACACCGCGAACTTTACTTAGCCCCTGACCGACGTAGTTGTGTTTAAGGGAGGAATTTTTTGTCGAAGATTAAACCCAAACAAATTGAATAATCAACCCTATCTAAAATTGTCACATTGAAGGTTAATTATGTTACGTAAGATGGCAACAGATCCGAGAGTAGCACATGAATATTCTGAAGTCGAACGAGCAACTTTTAAATTACTAATATAATTTCATCCATAAATGGTTTTCTATTCAGAGAACTAATCCACCTTATATCTTGATGAATAATGGCCCCCTTAAACCATTCGGTAATTCAGACTGGCGTATGATCGTCTGCTGTGCCGGCACCGTAATTACTTACTTCATGTTGCCTGCCGGGTTTGCAGGTAAACAAACTTAGGATAATTTAGCTCATTTCAGGGTAGTTTAGTTGTCTAACTCCGCCAATAATGTTGATTATGAACTACTGATGACTCAGCGAATGGCGGCCTCCCAGCGATCTATGTATCGCAGGTAGTACCTGTATTGATGATGCAAGGTGCAATTTCGATCTAAATTGGGTGATATTTGTTATTATATTTAATTGATTGATTTCGATGTTTGTATCATGGAGATCGGAAAATTCTCTACAGCATAGTACTAGCTTTAGGTGTTTGATAATTAAATAATTTTTAAATGGTCAATGATTAATAAATTTTGTAGGAAGTTAATTTTGAAATGTTACTCATGTTTTGATTTATTGGATCAATTTGGCCTAATGACATCACTAAAATTGTTAGTTATAATGAGTTATGACATACTAAGCACAAATAAAATGGACTCGAGCAGCTTGAGCGATTTGTGCGACGTGGCTTGTGGCTGAGGTTAGTTCAGTCTTCGTCCAGTTTACTACTTATTTGGTTCATCACAATTACTTTCCGTGAAATCGGGAGAATTTGAAATTGATTGTCAATATGAATGAAGTGAATTTATGCCTTTACCTAACGGCGTGATGTCTCTATATTGCATCAAACAAAGACTACACGGTAAGTCAATAATCTGCTTTAAACTGCGCCAGTAAATTTCTCGGGGCTATGCCTGCTCCTGTTATTGATTTCAACTGTGCAATTTCGAGCTGATAAAAGCTGCAAATTTCCATTGTTTGTCGCATAAATTCAGCTGAGTTCACGAGGCGGACTTCCACTCACGCCTCGCTACCCATCGACTGGACGAAAGAAGCGCTGGTGCGATTGCGTTGACTTTATTGAAACTGCCCGTCTGGCAGATTTGGAAATTGGCGCGAAAACGAGACCAGGAAGATATTTGTTGAAAAATTTCTGCTCTCTATAATTTTTATTTCTTCAAAGTGAACATTTTCTGATGTTATTTGAAGATCAGCCGTTCATCCAGGAAAATTTTTCAACGATGACCGTAAGATCTATGATGAGCGTAAGAATGGTGAAGGTGTTTGATAATTTCCTCGCATAATTATATGAATAATCTTATAACTAATCGTATTTGCCATGTGTGTGTTTTAAACCTGGTGCCTTAAATAAATGGACTGCTTAAGAAGAAAACCAGACCTGTGTCGTGTCTGGTTATTACAGTATCTGGACCTGAACATTTATTTATACTTGGAAAATAGTAGGGCCTTGCAAAATTTGGAGACAAGGATTAGACCAAAAATTGAAATTCGATTCTTAAGTTATAATTTACAAATTTAATTTGACAGGCGCAAAATCGTTTTTCATATTTTGAAACGAGAGTCAGATGGAATTCCAATATGTTTCATTTAAAATATGGGGTTGATGTGGTCATTCTTCAATTAGCATAAATCAGCTTTAAATTATCATTGGCGTGATTCGGGATGACGGGATTTTAAAATTGCAGGGTTAATCGAGCCCGGGCAAAACCGCGTTGGCTTGATAGTCTTCAAAAAATAATAAGATAGGTTCAAAATATAAAGATAACGATGAGTTTACGCATGATTCGAGTTTACTTTCTTTACTCCGCATGAATTCCTCGCATGATCAGTGCATTATATAGCATTAGGTGAGAATTTAAACAATCGTGTGTGTCATTTCCTGAGCGTCATGCAAGCAGTTACTCATCAGGCATGCCTGACATCATGCGCAGCTTAGGGCGAGTGAGCGATGGTACCAGATGCGCCGCCATGAATACAAACTACGATGGCGCGCGTGGGAACTTGCATTACAAAACTCCATGAAATGAATAACGACTGGTAAATATATCAGATAATGTCTTAAAACCATCATATTATTTTGCAGTTATTTAACCGCCAAATTTGGCTTTAATTAAGTATGAACTCTAAGGAGGATCTTTCGGATTTTTTACGTGAGAATCAAAATACTCCCAGAAGCCAAATATGTCTACAGAGCGGCTGCAAAGATAGTTAATAATTAAGCTAAATATCTATAACCATTAGATGCCGGCGTGGCCAATGTTCTGTACAGGTTTAACTAGTACAGGGATTAACTAGTACTAGACTAGGGATTAACTAGATTTATACTAGTAGTTTACATTTATTCTGTACAGGGATTAACTAGTAGCTTGTTAATCAAAGCAGCGCACTTTCAAAGATAGAGAATTTAGTATTGAGATCTTGGGACTTCCACACTGAGCTGTAAAACTACCCTTATCTCTGATATTGTGATATCTTCTGATATCTTCCAATTAACGTCAGTGAAAATCATTGATAAAAGGCGATCTTTTAAACTATCTTGCTCTTCTGTTGCTTCCTTTTGTTATTGCTTAAATAAATTAAAGTACAATTATTATTAGTACAAAGTACGCTTGTGTTTATGACGACTAAGCCGCTGGCTGTGGCGCGTTATCACCAGCGCGTAATAAGTTTTATCTTACGTTATCAGCATTGAACTGCTTGATTGCGTCGTCTACAATGAGGTAGTGAAGAAATACCATGCACTGCTTACTGCAATATCTTCTCAGTTACAATGAGGTAGTGATGAAACACCGTGCACTTCTTACTGCAATATCTTCTCAATTACAATGAGGTAGTGATGAAACACCATGCACTGCAGACTGACGTACCAAGTGCCATGTAGGAGTTGAAAGTCAGTTGCAGAATTTGGAAAACTTTTCCGCATTGTTTATTTGATTGTAATCGTGAGGTTTTCAATTCGTTAGTTTTCAAGTGTATTCGTTAGTTTTCAATTTGCGGCATTTTGCCAATAGAATATTAGGTTATTAAATTACGCAATAACAGGTAATACATTATGCTTGCCAAATAATTATCTGACCTGTTGAAATAAGTGCTGTTCTCCAGCATGGTAGGTAGCGCCACATTGATTGAATTTGTATTCGAATCTAAAATTTGTGATAGCTTACGTGAAATTTAAAGTTTTGACCATTTCATAAGTAGTTTTGAAATCAGCGTTGTGATAAGATGTGTATTCCAGCAGTTATCTCAAATTCATAAAACATAACTCTTACCGCAGTTATTATCTTGAACCTCATATCTTTATATAATTAATTATTTCATGTGGGAAAGTTGGGAAACTGTTTGAGAGTGAAAGGCTGTTAGTAACACTATCAAATAACCTAATCGAAAGTCTTCTATCATATTGACATTCTATCTAATGGCATCCCTGTCCATCTTTCGGCCTATGCATGTCAAAAATGCAAACAATTAAATCAACTGCAAAAGCAGTATCCGTATAGATTTACCGACACTATGATAATCTATTCGATGTCGGCCGAGCTGAAGCTACAATCGTCGCCTGCACAACGCGTCGTGGCGGCGCAGCCTCTGCCCTGGCCGCCCTAGGCCCTGAATAATGCGGAGTTCTCTCCTGTTGTCGCTCCCGCCTTTGCTTTCAGATGCACGAGTCGCCCAAGTTTGACCTTTTACCATGCAATCAATTGCGCTTCTGGTACGAATAGTATTAAAAACAAAAGCTGGAATTGTTGGCCCTAGGCTGTAAATTGTGAAGGGTTCTATCTTCACAAGCGAGTTCAGGCTTCGCTTACATGCAGCGCGCTATCCCGCGGATTTATATGCGATGATATTTTCTTGTGTTGTCCTTTACTGTTAATTCTAACTTGTATTTCATTGGGATTATGCCCGATGTTGCGATTTTTTATATGTTTCTCAGTTTCATTATTTTCTGTATATTAATTCATGAATTTTCATTTTTGTCTATGCCTCATATTTGCAATTTGAAATTTCAATCCTGAAATTCGAAATTTCAGTAATCGCTTGTTCATTCGGCAATTAATTAAAATATTTATTTTCAGGTACTAAAGAATTGAAATTTTAATTTTAATTTTTTTAGGCGAAACCAATAATTCCAATCTTGCACATAGAGGGCGACACAACTTTAACATTAACTAATACTAGGCAGTGAATGCAAATGGGGCAATGACTTGATTCATACAAACAAAATCCAAGAAATTTCGATGGAGTCAAGACGAGAAGGATCGAATAATCCTTCAGCCTATAGTGATGACACCGCAGGGCTGCAGGGCGACGTTTCACGACACGCTGCTATGGACCTCCCCCAGCAGCAGCAAGCCAAGCTCCTGGAAGAACAGGAAGAGAGAGAGGTGCGTCGGTGGGTATCCTTAATCTATTTTACGCATTGCTTAAATTTTGGTGATAACACATTATAATTTTCCTATTAAATTTTAGGTTTCTTCAAATTAATGAATGTTTTTAAATGTTGCTTATTGACTGTGACTTGTGTCATCGAACAGTTATGGTGCGCCATCTGCCTGTCAGTTCTGCGCCAGCCTCGCCAGCTGCCGTGCAAACACGCCTTCTGCCTTCACTGCCTCGAGAAGATGCTGCCTAAACGAGGGTTAGTGCCTGTAAAGCAAGCGTGGGTTAGTGCTTGTATATCAAACGTTGGTTAGTGCCTGTACATCAAACGTGGGTTAGTGTCTGTACATCAAACGTTGGTTAGTGCCGGTACATCAAACGTTAGTTAGTGCCTGTACATCAAACGCGGGTTAGTATTAAAATCACTTGCTTGTTTATATCGCAAATTTATCAGGAATTTAAAAGCAAAATAATAGCCAAAAAGTTCACCATTTCTTATAAGAGAAAACGTTTCGGAGTCCAGCTCCATCGTCAGCTCAAAACCTAGAACACAGGTACAAACATTATTAGTAACCTAAAATTCATTTTCAAACAATTCACCTCAACTTGAGGGCATTAGAACTAAAATCTAAAGAAGCCTTGGCCCCTTTTCAGAAAAATGCACAGTTTTTTCTAAAACAATGCAACGTGGGTTAGTGCCTGTACATCAAGCTGTTAGTTCCTGCATTTTATTCATCGGTTAGTACAAGACATTCATCACTTGAATTTCATATCTCGTAACACATAAATTTCATGATGTTGGAAGTAAGTGATACATGATTGCTCCTGCTGTTAATTTCTTAAACATATGTACTGGTGCATACTTAAATATACCATTTTGATAACTTTTTTTTCTACTTCCGCCTCAATAAATTATGATAAATCGTTGTAAATCTTAGTATTTTCCAAAGATAATACTTTTGTGTAGAAGATAATACGTGGAGATGCTCATGCCGCGGATGTCAAATACTCGGCAATGTTTCATATGGATCGTAAATCAACGTCTTGTTATCATTAACTATCCGAATGGTTAATAATATTCAACCATCATCTTGAAACCATTTGACTAATTTCTAGACCACAGTTTTCTATATGACAGCAAAACACGTGTGTTTGCGTATCATGGCATCAATTATATATCATATGCTCATCAGTAATTTGGAGGCGTTGTTTTTTCATGCTGTACAATGATCATTCACATATCATAAATAATATTTATAAATATCTTTTGTGTGGTATATGTATATTTACGCAATATACGTGCATATACTTCAAAATATATTCAAATATCAGTATTGAAGTATATCGTTCATATATGAAAGTGACATTGTAGCCATGTGAATTTTTTTGTGAAGCCATGTGAAGTTTTTGTTTATATGTTATGTTGCAGAAATAAATGATTTTAAGGTGCAATATGTACTTAAACGGTATGGATATTATGGTAGAATTACAATTTTCCTAGGATAAACTTTGAAATTTTGCAATTAATGATTTTTAACGAGTATATGGACCTATAATGAAATGACAGAAATAACGACACTTCTTAGAGTACTCCGAAATATTAATATGGGAATATATAGGTATAGGTGAATGTATAAATCGTTAAAATTAAAGTTGATCGCGTATTGAGTTAAATGGTCAAAATTAATTTACAAATAATAAATTCGAGAAAATTATGACTATTGGTTTCAGTTCATATTTCTGAAACAACTTGGAGTAAATACCAGTGAGCAGGGCATTACATAATGTTAAATAAAAAATAGGTTACCTATTCCTAGCCGGTGTGAAAATTTAAATTTTGATCATGGCGACGAAATGATATGCTGACTATCTTGTATTTCATTTTTGACTATCCTGTTATTATATTATATATATTAAATTTTATTTTAAAGATGTAAAAGAATGCAGGAGATTCTGTACTTTGTTGTATTGACTCACTTCACTGTTAGGATAAATATTGACGGTTCCAATGTAGTTATTAAATAAACTGTCTTTAAGCCTGGCAGTGCATTGGTACAACTGTAGTCCTGTGAACGGTAGAGCAGCTCTGTCTGCTAGAACATTAAAGTACATTCAGAGGGCACCTGCATGTAACGCGGGAGGCAGATGAGTTGCAAAGTGTTTTATTGCACTTAATTTATGCATTGTTGATAAAGAGGACAGTTAAATCTTGTGGAATTCCCGAATAATATTCTTGCGAATCTCCTGCGTGTTGATTCTGACAATTGCCTGCTTAACAAGCTTCAGGGAGGATAGATTATTTTATTGAAGACTTAATATTCTTCTCTTTTATTAACTAAGATTTATTTTCGAATCGTCTTGGCAATGTTTGATGTTGTACTTTTCTACAATCTTTCCAAAAATCGAATTCACGGTATGATTTACGTGGATAAATTCGATATCTTGGGTCGTACGTACTTGCCTGTTCAGATAGTATCGAAATGGATAGCATGTGGGAGTATCATAACAATCATGACGATCGCGCGTGCCTCTGTAAAGGACGACCGCAATATTGACGACTCTTCTTCTCCTGGCAATTCACGACAATTGGAGATCCAGAGTAGGCTCTATAAATCCAAAAATATGAACAGTCTTATAGAGAACGTGGAAATTTGGAACATTTAGGTTCATGTGTACTGAATAAAATGCGTTAATTTTGACTAGAAACCTCCCAATATATCGGTGATAAATATTGTTTTCTTGTATAAGTTCATGATAAAAATAACTCAATTGTGGACCGTCTTTTCAACATTATTGGGCTTCAAATGGTTAACCATTTGCATCGTACTGGTGCTTTTCTCTTGCAATATTAAGGATGAAATTTTATAGTCTTATTCTATTCATCGGAATTATTTGCTATCATTCTCGGAACTAATTGTATGCAAAATTTAGGGACGAATTTTCCTCTATAAAGTTAGTTCACCATAAATTCCAATTGATTTTATGGGATGAAAAACATTAAAATTCTGTATACCTTTTTTTGAAATTACGAAGCAAAATCTCAGGTTGAAAAAAAAACACAAGGCATTCAGAATTCTCCGCGAGCTTCTGCAAAACGTCATAATATATTTACTGGTGACATAAAGAATATGAAAATGTCCTAACGAAACCACGACCAAAATCAAGGACATCGCACAAAGAAGATCATGTACACCAGCAGCTCACCTGTTCACGTCCCTCCCCTTGCCTTTCGACCTCTCTAAGGCCATTTATTAACATGTACAGATTGCCCTCAGGTTCACTGGGCTCTGCATGTGATGAATCTTGGTGCTCGTGGACTGTGATCGTGACAGATTATTGAATTCAAATTCTTTTTCAAAGTTTCTTTTTCGTCAACTTGAGTATGTAAAAATCTGAAATTTTAGATTTCTGTAATACAATCGTTATTTCCTAAAACCTCTATGTACTTTAAATTGCCACTGTTTGAACGAGAACACAAGCATACGAACTGACATATTATACAAATATTTTGTATCGTTTTTACACAACAAATGTTTGCTGAGCGATGGTGAGATGCTGAGATATATTTTATGATGTAATACAGTAATAAATGCTTACAGGGCTGTGGTGCGATGCCCCAGTTGCCGGAGGTGTGCCGCCGTACCGAGCGAGGGACCCTGCGGGCTTGCGGTTGACCCCGCCCTGCTGGCCCGCGTCGCTGAGGTCAGGGAGAGGAGGCGGCAGAAGGCGAGGCAGAAGAAAAGCAAGGTAGTTAAATTGCCATTTTTGTAATTGAATTTTGAGGAGGGGTTTTTAATTGAACCAATCTGTTTATTTTTGTGGTTTATTCAACTAAGTGCATTGCTGCATTCCTACTACGGATGAAAGTTTTAGAATATGGTGAAATATTGAACGCGTGTAATAATATAAATGTGTCGGAGTAACGGTCCTTTTTCAAATGCTTTTCGTGATAAGTTTTACTGCTCTTCCATTGTCCAGACAGTGATTTTTGTCTTTTTTCTTCTATGATCTGCTTAATTTTATTTTTTCATCCATTTCTTGCTGCAGAAATGAAATTTTTCATTAATTTCTTCTCTTTTTTATTTTTTTTTGCTGCAGACGTGCAGCAGCTGCGCAGAGGTGCAGCTGTGCCTGCAGTGTCCGCACTGCGGTGCACAGCTCTGCCGCGGCTGCACAGCAAGGCATTCCGAAGCACTGCAGCAGCAAGTTCGCAGCATCACTAAAACGCTGGAAAAATTCAAGGTGTGAAACCATAAGTTTATTAATTACCAAGAGAGCTGATAAAAAAAGGAAAAAAGCTTATATGTGTAGTAATTCACTCATATCATACAGTAAGTTTTCGTGCATAGAAATAAAATGAGCATAACAAATCACAATATCAATAACTGTATTACGAGATGATGATTGATTATGTTGGAGTTCGATTTTGTTTGCGTCAGTCGATTGCATTCTAAATACGATCGACTTTTATCTGACACCTCTTTACATCAGTATTTGTAATTATATATTGTGTAATAAGTTGCAATGACCACATTCGAAGGGATGCAAATCTTAATGATGACCGTTAGTTAACGTGTATCAGATAATATTGACCCTATAATGATGTGTAGGGCTCGCTATTGACCGTAAGTGGACGTGCAGCTCGTAGTACGTTAATATATTATAAGAAATATTGACTGTCAGTTAATATTTCTTAACGAGTACTCCGTAGTGAGTGAACTTTACAGCCGCGCTGCTCAATTGACATCCAGGCCGTGATTGTGACTGTCAATCGCCGCGTACACCGCGATAACAATCAGTTGACGTGCCCAGATAACAATCAGTTGACGTGCCCAGATAATAATCAGTTGACGTGCCCAGATAACAATCAGTTGACGTGCCCAGATAACAATCAGTTGACGTGCCCAGATAACAATCAGTTGACGAGTACAAATAACAATCAGTTGACGTGTAAAAATAACTGTCAGTTGACGTGTAAAAATAACTGTCAGTTGACGTGTACAGATAACAATCAGTTGACGTGCACAAATAACGGTCAGTTGACGTGTACAGATAACAATCAGCTGACGTGTACAGATAACAATCAGTCGACGTGTACAGATAACAATCAGTTGACGTGTACAGATAACAATCAGTTGACGTATACAGATAACAATCAGTTGACGTGCACAGATAACAATCAGTTGACGTGCACAGATAACAATCAGTTGACATGTACAGATAACAATCAGTTGACGTGTAAAGATAACAATCAGCTGACGTATACAGATAACAATCAGTCGACGTGTACAGATAACAATCAGTTGACGTGTACAGATAACAATCAGTTGGCGTGTACAGATAACAATCAGTTGACGTGCACAGATAACAATCAGTTGACGTGTACAGATAACAATCAGTTGACGTGTAGAGATAACAATCAGTTGACGTGTACAGATGAAACTGCAGCAAGAGAATCAGGGTGACAGGACGAGGGGTCGCGTCAAGGGTCACCAGTCGCTGGCAGGAGACGAAGAGGAGATGCGGAGGTGCCGTGGCACGAAGAGGGTTCTTATGACCCTCAAGCGAGCCCTCGCCTCCTCCAAGACTATGGCTGAAGAACCTCCTGCTAACCTCCCTGCTTATGACGTTCCAGCCGGCATGTCTGCAGGGTTTAAGCAGGTGAGGACATATGCGTTGTCTTTTCAAATAAAAGTTTTTCGTAAAATTTCAGCGAAAATTCCAAGTAGTTTTGTTATATTAAATATTTTTTGATCAAGTTAGTTTACTTGAAATTTTGATGTTCTGGTAAAGTTCTCTATTAATAACAATGTTGATGGTTTTGCTGCAGCTACACAGCCTGAATCTTCAGCTGATGTTCCTCTTGAAGCTGACGAGTACGTTGGAGTCTCACCTCATGAGCTGCAACGTCGTGGATATACAGCGAACTAAGGCCAGACAAAGCGCAGGCCTTGAAATTGACGATAAGGCTGATGAAAATATGAGGGTGAGGGAAGAGTTTCTGATTGATCTAAGATCTGATGAACATCGCTCTGAAGACAGTCGAAGATCCCTACAGCGTGACCATAAGTCGTTAATATCAGGATTCCAAAACTTGCGCTTGGAAAATGAGCCAGTTTTTGAAAGAAGTAGTCGATCTACTCCTCGCTATAACGATAATATAAACAAAAGGAAATCACGCAACAGAGCAAGGCATGTCAGTTATAGCCTTACACGTTTCTCTCAAGATAGTGAGTTGGCCAGTCCTCTCCGTTCGCATGATGGCTTACGGACTTACGGGAATCGGGCGAACAGCGACGAACTGCAACGATCGAGATCTTATTCGAGGTGTGGAAGTCCGAGTGAATCTTCAAGATCCCGTTCCCGGACAAGAGAGGAAAATTCCGGAATTTTTTCGGGTGATGAAGATGATGACAAATCTTTTGCTTCAAGCCATCAAATATCAAGCGAGCAGAGTCTGGGATGTAAACTAGGAATAAATCTACCGTTTTCAACCGTCGCCATCTCTGACCCCCTACAGATGCTCGAAGACCAAAGTCTCTTGTACAGGTATGTATTTATTCCCATACCATTAGTTGGGCATGCTTGACATTTCTCAAGGCTTAATCTCAGTGCAAATTAGTTCAGGAAAAGTCAAGTTATTGTAAAGAACAAGATATCACAATTCATTTTGTAACTACTAACTTGTCTTAACTACGCGGCAGTCATTAAATACCGATTTTTGTTCACAATATTTGGAAAGCTCGTTTGCCGCGCAGATGTAAATCGTCGCGCAGCCTGCAGCGACTGAAGCATCGCAGTCTCATCCGTCGTCCCACGGACGTCTCGTGGTGCCCCTGGAACAACACCGTCTACATCACAGTGTCCCAGATCGCCAAGTTCGTAGTCTAAACCTTAGAAAAAAGATTTCCATGTAAAAGCTAGGGTGACTGAATTAACCACGTAAGATTGTTATCTGATTATCCGCACTACTGCGCGGGATAGTTACTGTTGTAAGGCCTAGCCAGTCAAGTTAGAGCACTTTGTCTCTGATGTCCCTGCTGGCTGACTGAGCTATTATAGGCTGCAGTACGCTAGTCTCAGGTGAGTGAGTGCATTTGGAATAGTCTTCTTTTTTAGTATATATGTGTATTATTGTATTATGTTTTATTGTATTATCTTCCGTCCCGTTAATTTCTACGAGTATTTATTGTGACATTTGTTTATCTTAGCAGGACAGAGCTAATTCCCTCTCCTTTATGAAGTTCTTTAGATTTTGTCACGTGAACGATTTAAAGCTTTGAGTTTTCCTGATTAAATATGAAGGATTTTAACGAACTATGAGTGCAGCTGACATAATTAAAAACGGTAATTAAAATTGCAGAATATTTTACCCTATACGTCTTCTTGTGTATGAAAATTCTGATGATGTGATGGCGTGCAGAGTGGTGATGGTGAGTTGCGCTAGCGCCGGGCTGGGGTCCACTCTCCTCGGCGTCCACGGCTATGGTGAGGTTTCAGGCTAACATTCAAGACAATAGGCTTTCTGGTGCGATATTTTGCAAGCGAAGTCATCTATCAATTAGCTATAGTTTTCATCTTGATCAGCAAATAAGCTATAGATTAATGTCATCAGCGGTCACTTCCCGAGAGAAGTTTAAAACGAATGCTTAAATATTTAACGTCTGCCGGCTGAGCCGGAACGTCGAATTTCTTTAAAATAATTTTATCTCTAAAATAGGTCTAGGTTAACATAGTTGGGGAACTACAGAATTACAATTCCTTTAATCTTTCATCGATCGAGGACTCGATATTGTATCTTCGATGCAGGCTTTCAAACTGACACCAACTCCACCGCTCCAGATCCTGGCCCACAGGAGGACCGCATCCCAACGCTGCTGACGGAGGGGCGCGAGAGCCGCCCCCGTGCCTGGGGGGAACGTGGGGACGAGCCTGGACACTTGCTCTTCCCCAGCGCGATCGCCTGCAGCCCTCTTGTCAAGGAGCTTTATGTGCTAGGTGAGCTTTATTTAATTATCATAACTTCCAAAGATCTAACAACTACCGCGCAGTTCAGATAAAGGAAATATTCAAGCCATTCAATTCTTACAACAAGTGTTTGCTCATTCATGAATGAGTGTTTGTCATGAGATTGTAGGTAAAAAAAATGTAGTACTAAGGGAATACTAATCGTTCAAAATTCATAGTGTTCTGACTCACATATGAGTTTGAAAAATAATTATAAATAGCTTGAAAAATCGAGGAATTACATTGTAGTTCGGTTTGGGTCAAAATGCAATTGTACGTCGATCTGACCATATATGGTGTAGTAACATCTTGTTAATTGGCGCTTTATTCCTCGATGTATTGATTCATACAAATTGTGAATAGTTTCAAAAAATTAGTAGCCAGTTGTTTACTAAAATTTCATTCATGACTTTATGAAATGGTGGTGGAAATCAATCGATTTTGATGCTTCTTTAGCTGTTTCAATTTGCATGCGGCCGGAGTACAGGAATGGAGTGAACGATGACTTGCCGGAGAAAATTAAATTTTTTCATTGACCATTTCTAAAGGTTTCTTCGCCACTCCTTGAGCTATAATTGCCTTCAAGACTTTGGAATCCAGTTAGTTTTGCTCCCACGAATAGTTTTTGGAAATAATGGGGACTTCGTTTTATAAGTGATTTCAAGATTCGCGCTTTTGCAATACTTTCAATAAATTTTCAATAACTTTACAGTCCAACGGTCTCGTCACACAGCGTTTCGAATTAGACTGGCCAGATATGCAATTTGCTGAAGGCATTTTCCATGAATATCTTTGAATAAAAATCATCGCTTACGAAAAATAAGCCAATAATTCCCGCTGTTTGTGTTGCACCAGCGGCTGCCATAGGTGCACCAAAATAGATCAGCTTCACATGTCAAAGAGATCAGCTATACATAAAAAGTTGCAACAATTAGTTTGAAAACATCTTAAAAATGTAATAATTTCACAACAAAATCCCAAATAACAATAATGATTACACACAGTCCAAGTTAATTTATTAGTTCAGTCGATGGCTCGCCTGCACTTAACACCTGATAAATTAACAGTACTAGATCTTGAGGGCTTCTGGCGAGATTAGATTTGTGGGCCGTCACATCGCTGTCCGAAATGCTAATCTAAATGCTGAGGAAGCAGCTGGACCTCCTCAAAGTACCGCCTCCAGACCCTATCAATCAGACAGACCATCTGACGAGCTTCATTGCAATCGTCGTTTAGTCTCTGTGAACTGGAGCGAAGACTGTATCCGTAATCTACTTTGTGTGCTCTCAGAGCTAACAGAGTCGCTAGAATCTCCCCGCCAAGTATTTTTGTGTGCAGAAAGTCTTCAAACGACCTGTAGCCTTAAATTTCATTTTTGCTGTTAAGTGATGAATGGAGTAGGGATTAAGTTGGGAATGCCTTGAGTTGAGATGAAATGCTGCACTTGCATGTGTTGATCAAGTAATGCAAGTGTTCTCGTTATAACTTGCGTGACAAATTGCATTATTATACATATATCATCGAGTTTTTGCATATTTGGAATTTAAGTTCAAATTTGCGCAGTGTCGAGCGAAATGTCAGATTTGGAAAATGTAACTAGATATAAAATACTTAAAAAAAACTTTTTAAAAAACCACGTTTTTCTTGTGGACTAAAAAGTAGAAAATAAATTGTGGCTCGCCCCAAAAAACGTGACGGACAGACAGACGGACGGACGGACATCGCGAGCACAATAGTGAATTTTTTCCATAAATGAGAAAATGCGCTAAAAACAGATCTGGGTGAAAAAACCATCGCTGGGAGTCATGTGCTGCACGTGTTGTGTACAAATCGCCAAACAAACGTTCGAACGTTTGACTTCGACTTCGGACTGCCGCCCTCTCTATCGCCCCCCTATCGCCCCCCTATCATCTTCTTCTTCCTTACCGCCCCCCAAAATCTTTCCATCGCCCCTAGGGGGGCGATATCGCCCACTTTGGGAACCACTGCTCTAGAGCAATCAGAAGTGGACTAATTTTCGTTGTCAATGTTAACAACAAACAAACAAACAAACAAACAAACAAACAAACAAACAAACCAACAAACAAACAAACGCGAAGCTAAGCTAAGAAAAACGTGTTAATAAAAAGGAAGATTGTCGTCAAGCTTTCCTTCCTTGAATTTTGAAGGCATTTATACGTTTATTTTGCGTACGTTGGCAACCTCCATTGCAGTTTACTGAAAGACACTTTGTTTTTATAGTCTTCAAGTAAAATATCACAAAGGATTTTATTAAATATTTGTTTTAATAGATAAACGGCGGTGCCGCGTGGTTGTGTTCTCCCTACAAGGCCACTTCCTACGGGAGTTCGGGTCTCGCGGGCACGGCTCGAACTCCTTCAGCAGCGCCGAGGCTCTCGCCGCGGACCACGCAGGCCTCCTCTATATCGCTGACACCTGCAACGACAGAATACTGGTGACTTATCATTAATAAGAGTTGCCTTTTTAAAAAGCTTAGAAAGTTTTCTTCAACCAATTCGGTAATCTTCATGAATGATGAATTATGTTAATCCAAATATATTTCTGTCGGACCGAGATTCGATACGTGAAAATTTTTACCGCATTTGTTTCTTGTATTTTGTGTGTGTAATCGCTTACAGTATTACACAGAGCTGGATTTTTGCTTTGATTGATTATGTAATAGAAATTAATTGCACAAACAACTTACAAAATCAAACAATTTTAGGATCATTTAGAAGAATTTTGTTCCCAGTGTGTGGCATCTTATGAATTAGTTCTCTCTGCATTATTACTGTTCTATTTGCGCTGCACTTCACTCAATTTATATCCGATAACGAACGCATAAACGTTATCTGTTCAGGTCCTGGACAGACATGGCGCTGCGGTGCGCCAGATTGGCAGCGCTGAGCTCCGCATGCCCGCTGGTGTGGCCGTGAGCGGCAACAAACTCCTTGTCGCCGACACCGCCAACCACAAGTGTCGGGTGAGTGACGTGCCCGCCGACTGCATCGGTGACTGCCTGAACAAGTGTCGGGTGAGTGACGTGCCCGCCGACTGCATCGGTGACTGCCTGCACAAGTGTCGGGTGAGTGACGTGCCCGACGACTGCATCGGTGACTGCCTGCACAAGTGTCGGGTGAGTGACGTGCCCGCCGACTGAATCGGTGACTGCCTGCACATGTGTCGGGTGAGTGACGTGCAAGCCGACTGAATCGGTGACTGCCTGCACATGTGTCGGGGGAGTGACGTGCAAGCCGACTGAATCGGTGTCTGCCTGCACATGTGTCGGGTGAGTGACGTGCAAGCCGACTGAATCGGCGACTGCCTGCACATGTGTCGGGTGAGTGACGTGCAAGCCGACTGAATCGGTGACTGCCTGCACATGTGTTGGGAGAGTGACGTGCCCGACGACTGAATCGGCGACTGCCTGCACATGTGTTGGGAGAGTGACGTGCCCGACGACTGAATCGGTGACTGCCTGCACAAGTGTCGGGTGAGTGACGAAACCTTTAATTTAATCGCTGACAACTCAAGTGGAAAAGTCGGTAGAGGAGCATACAGGTATATTGGAGAGCATCACGGCAACATCAAATAGCAATCCCTTTGCTCCATGTATTGCTTAGCTTTCGTATCGTGCAAGCGTAAATGTAATTATTTTTAAAGTGATGATTTCCAGTGATGGTCATTCAATCACTAGATTCTCTGATCATTTAATATCACCACAATGAATTCATTAACATATTTATAAGTTATTCTCTAGACGTATAACAACATGAATGAACTAACTTGCACTCATTAATTTCTATTATCATTCATCTCAACAAGCAAAGTCTGACGTTGAACAAGAAGTAACACAATTAAAAGTAACTTGTACAAGTACTGCAGCCTAAGTCCTCTTAACTTGATACCACCTCGCACGTAATTCCTGAGGTTCTGATGATCAAGATAAATGCTTTTATGAAAAATTCGCATTCCTTTCACCGCATTCATATCAAACAATTAGGAAAAACTACATGAATTTTTATTGTAGTCTAAATTTGAATAGTCAGGCAAATTCGACGTCATTTTAACGAGTTTAAAATGTTCCAAAAACAAACCTTGACTTCTAATTTTCCAGTTCTATTCTACTTTTCCAGTCATGGAATAAGTAATTCAAGAGTACATTTTTCCTGCAATTTTCGTTAGTAATAGAATTATTTGATGATACTCTTTTATAATCATTACACTTTCGGTGCGAAAGTAGGCAATGCACCAAGATTTTTCGTGCCACGGGCCAAAGCTGGGCACTTATACCAGGCAATCATCTGCATTTTGGCATGAACCCTCATCCCGCAAGCAGGCTGCAGCGATCCCTTTTGTGAGTGCAATGCTATTGTATAGTCCTGGTAATGGGGCAAAAAATAGCATCATGCCTTGATAATCGCGCTCATTTTGTGATGAGAAAAGCCTTTTGGTGCGGCGAGCTTTGGCACTGAACTGCGTCTTGGAAAATCGTATTGTGGCCGACGGCTCAATTCAATTATAATGAATGGAAATCCCAACGAGTAAAAATTCTGTAGGAATTTTGGGCGGAAATATTGTATTGAAATTCAAATTGTGATTGGAAGTCTCATTGATGACGAAAGAATTGATAGAATGGCCATAATTAGCGATGTTCATTACCCTATTTACGTCGGTAGAGGGCCGCTGTTATAATCTTTGATTTCTCATCATGTACACGCACTCTAACGACAAAAAAATCAGTATTAACTCTAAGGAAGGATTAAATTGCTCATAATTATCAAACAGGACGACATAAAAATCGAATTCTAAGGGCAGGATATCAGATAGTTAGTGTTGGGGTCGCACCTGTGGCATGCACCTGGTGACGGATCCCTCATTAAAAATTGGAAACACAATTTGCTCTAAGTAATAATACATAATTGCAAACTGTGTATTTTAGGAAACAGAAATAAGACTTTTCACTCACCTAGTTAGGAATTGTTGTGATGAATATAAGAAGACAATCGGCTCATTTTGATCACTAAAATCAGCTTAAAAAAGAGACTGTTGATAATTTGCAGTGTTCATTGTGATGCAGAATTCATTGTGATGCATTGTTCAGTGTGATGTCATTTCACAATCATGTTCACGAAGTTGATAGCTAGCAGTGTCAGTGTATGACTAGCAGTATCATGAGAATGACAAGCAGTGTCAGTGCATGTATAACTGGCAGTGTCATGTGAATAAGACGCAAACCTCGGGTTCCTTTTATTTTTCATTGATACACAGCGTTCCACAGCGTGAGAGGAAATGCATACTTTCATGCATCGCACTAATTTAGGCCGGGAGTCAATTATCTTCAAGATCAATTATCTTCAAGAATCCCGTTCTATTCAAACACTGATACGCGCTTTCGACCTGTTTGTTAGGAAACAAGTTGCGTAGATGACACTTCTTTTAATTATAGAACCTACAGCAACAAATGTGGCAAGCTCATGACTTGCGAACGAGTTCATCGTGTTATTGGCATGGGCATTATTCAGTGTATACAAATGGGCGCTGACAATGTTTAGTGTAAAGAAATGTGTGCGGACATCATTCTATGTATGCATATAGGCCATGATAATTTTCAGTGTAAACAAATTGGCGCTGACAATGTTCAGTGTAAATAATATGCGTTTAAAAATAACTTTTTAAAGACAACACTTCTGAACAATCCAGTGTCTTAGATGTTACACATGTACAATGAATTTCTAATTTTATTTTCAAATGTTGAAAAGAAAAATTATTTTTCAAAATTTTTTAAGATATAAAAATTTTGTAAATTTTCAAAATTATTTATTCTGTCAATTGATTCATGCATTGTCTCTGACTTTGCAATTGTGCAAGATTTCAGATCAATTGGACAGGTCAAATTGTGTCATATATGGATTATAAGATTTGTAGCAGACGAAATTATTTTTTAATTTTTTTAATAATGAAAAAAAAAATTTTTTTTCAATTTATAGAATTGTTTATTCTGTCAATTGAATCATGCATTGTCTCCAACTTTACGCAAGTGTGCCAAATTTCAGATCGATTGGACAGGTAGAAGTGTGTTAAATATCGAATATAAGATTTGTAGCAGACAGACAGACAGACAGAAACAAACAAACAAGAAGTGAAGTTAAAGAGAATTCTTGTAAGAAAGTTACTGAGATTATTACTATAATCTTAAACTGAACACAAACGATTTCTTTTAGTTAACGCGATCAAACGATAGGATACTTAAATATATTATTCCCTAGAATAAATTAAAAATTGCCGGGCATATTACTATAATCTTAAACTGAACACAAGCAATTTCTGCTTGTGAATACGATCAAACGATAGGAGACTAATATATATTATACCTTAGAATATAAAAAGTTACTGAGCTTATTACTATAATCTTAAACTGAACACAAGCGATATTTTCTAGTTAACGCGATCAAGCGATAGGAGACTTAAATATATTATACCATAGAATAAATAAAAAAAATACTGGGCATATCACTATAGTCTTGAACTGAACATAAACAATTTCTGCTTATGAACACGATCAAACGATAGGAGACTTAAATATATTATACCCTAGAATGAATAAAAAATTACTGGGCATATTACTATAGCCTTCAATTAAACACAAGCAATTTTTGCTTGTGAACTCGATCAAACGTTAGGAGACAAATATATTTTACTTTAGAATCTAAAAAAAAAGTTACTGAGCTTATTTCTATAATCAACAACTGAACACAAGTGATATCTTCTAATTAACGCGATCAATCGATAGCAGACTTAAGAATTTAGACCCTAAATAGAATAAATAAAAAATTACTGGGCATATCACTATAGTCTTGAACTGAACACAAGCAATTTCTGCTTGTGAACACGAGCAAACGATAGGAGACTTAAATATATTATACCTAATAATATAAAAAGTGTTACTGAGCTTATTACTATAATCCTAAACTGAACACAAACAATATCTTCTAATAAACGCGATCAAACGATAGGAGATTTCAATATATTACTCCCTAGAATAAATAAAAAATTAGTGGGTATATTACTAAAGTCTTGAACTAAACACAAGCAATTTCTGCTTGTGAACACGATCAAACGATAAGACTTAACTATATTAAACCTTAGAATTTAAAAAAAAGTTACTGTGCTTATTACTATAATATTAAACTGAATACAAGCGATATCTTCTAGGTAACACGATCAAACGATAGGATACTTAAATATATTATACCTTAGAATAATTAAAACATTACCGGGCATATTACTATAGTCTTGAACTGAACACAAGCAATTTCTGCTTGTGAACACGATCAAACGATAGGAGACTTTATTATAGTATACCCAATAATAAATAAAAAATTACCGGGCATATTACTATAGTCTTGAACTGAACACAAGCAATTTCTGCTTGTGAACACGATCAAACGATAGGAGACTAAAATATATTATACCTTAGAATATAAAATAATATGAGTTTAAAAATTACTTTTTAAAGACAACACTTCTGAACAATCCAGTATCTTGGATGTTACACATGTACAATGAATTTCTAATTTTATTTTCAAATATTAAAAAACTATTTTTCAAAATTTTTTTATGATATAAAAATTTTGTAAATTTTCAAAATTATTTATTCTGTCAATTGATTCATGCATTGTCTCTGACTTTATGTAATTGTGAAAATTTTCAGATCAATTGGACAGGTCAAATTGTGTCATATATGGATTATAAGATTTGTAGCAGCCGAAATTATTTTTTACTTTATTTTAATAATAAAAAAATTTTAATTTATAAAATTGTTTATTCTGTAAATTGATTATTGCATTGTCTCCAACTTTACGCAAGTGTGCAAAATTTCAGATCGGTTGGACAGGTAGAAGTGTGTTAAATATCGATTATAAGATTTGTAGCAGACAGACAGACAGACAGACAGACAGACGGACAAACAAACAAGAAGTGAAGTTAAAGAGAAGTCTTGTAAAAAGGGTCTCGGACATTCTTCAATGTAAACAAATGGGCTCAGACATCTTTCACTGCAAACATATGGGTTCTGACACCTTTCAATGCATAAATATGGGCGCTGACACCTTTCAATATGAACATATGGGAGCTGGCAATCTTCAAAATAAACAAATATAACAAAATTCTCTGCAACAAAGTTTGCTGGTGTGGCAGGTTTACCACAGAACGTCGGGCAAGCTCTTGGCAACACTTGGCGGCCGCGGCAGCAACCAAGCGCAGCTCGAGTCTCCCGAATGCGTCGCCGTTGACGCATGCGGATTCTTCTTGGTTGGCGACACTGGCAACAACAGAATTCAGGTCTTCCGACCTAATGGCAACTTCGTCAGGTGAGATGGCAACAGTAGATTACCGTCTCCAAGTGAAATGGAGTCTGTAGGATTATATAAGTCAAATAATCAGAGCAGGGTGGCCCAGTTGTTACAGTTCAGCGTACCAGGATTGGGGCAGAGAGGTGCGGGTTCGAGACCGCAACAAGCTGTGAATGTTCTGCGATCTTAAAAATCAGAGACAGGCCTATGGCCCAATAAACGCTGAAACCGCTATTATTATAATTTGATCAAATGACAGTGCGGAAGACGATGCAGTGACAATGCATCGTCTTCCATGTTAAATATGCGGAAGAAAAATGTATGTTTTCATAGTTAAACGAAGATGTCCTCACTAACAATTCTGGAGAATTGGAAATATATGATTCAAAATACGAGATCGTTCAATATGCGGCAAACATACGTTCTTATGCAACACAGGTTTTTATCTTGTATTTTTTGTATGTAATTTTGTATGTATTACCACATGTTGCACACCAATGCTGTTCAACATGTGTTATCTTCCTGGTTTCTTTATAATTTCAGTATTTATAAGACGATAAATTCTGTCAGGTATCTTGGGTGCCGCAACGGCAAGGCTGGCGAGCTGAGCATGGTGACGGGGCTTGCTGTGACGCCGTCACTGGAGGTGCTGGCAGTCGACTGCTGTCAGCACCTGGTGCTGGTCTACTGACCTGCTGCTGGTCTACTGACCTGCTGCTGGTCTACTGACCTGCTGCTGGTCTACTGACCTGCTTCTGGTCTACCGACCTGCTGCTGGTCTACTGACCTGCTTCTAGCCTACCGACCTGCCCCCTACATCGTTGTAGCCGTATTTGTACTTTCTTCTAATCTCTTAACGTGAAATGTTTAAATCAGGCCAGTAAGTTGATTAATTATTCATATTTTGGTTATTGTGCATCGAGTTCTCCAATTTGCGTGTAATTCGTGAGCTCGGATGACGTTCTGATGAAAGGGAGTAAGGAAAATATTGAAAATAATATAGTTGTTTGTGAACACATAATTGCTCACTGTAAGTTAATCATTGATCAAAACTTATCCGTTTGCCGAATTCCGGTAAAGGCACAATTAATTATTGTGCAAGAAAAAATTTGTTTGTAATTCAGATGACCATTTTTTGTACCATTTAATTCTGAAAAGCAATAACAATAATTGAAATGGGTGGAATTTTTTAGGTTACATTTTCTTTTCTTAGTAGAATTCAAGGTTGCCGTTTTCACGTGACAAATTTACGTTTTTTTTTGCAATAAACAAATGTGCGATTACGGCTCGCGGGGCTTGTGGTTGCTCTGAAGGAGATTCCATTAATCATTCACCTGTCCGAAAATTACGGCAAAAAAATGATGTTTCTCGACGAATCCTGTTTTGGTCTCTTCATATCCGCCTGGCCACGAGTCCGCAGTTTTTATTTCCGACAAAACTCTGGAAAAAAGAGAAATTTCTTTTTGCGAATTCTTGGTACATAATCGTGGCGTGAGCGAGGCTCCAGCTGCAGCTGGAAAATATACGAAGGCTGGCGTGCAATCAGCTGAAAGAGACGCAATTTTATTCAATGAGTCTTTTTGCTCGTGATATGTGGTCTCAATTTCGCTTAGTTTTGATCCCTGGAGTGAGTGGCTCCGTAGATTTCAGGCATTATTTTCATCCTGAGATGAGCGTTTCGTTAATTTGTTCCATGTGAAAGTGTTCCAATGAATTGAAATAGTCACTAGCTTTTCCAATATTAATTTCATAAGCTGTTTATGCAGCTAATATATGAAACAAAAGCTTTTAACTTGAGCGATAATCACTATTTGAAGTCTCTTGAGCAATGGCTTATGATTGAAAGGATGCTAATTATATTTCTTTATATTTTAGTTCGGCATTTTGACGAGAAGTGATGTTGGAGAAATCTTCGTTTGCGAAGACAATATTATGTGCATGTTAATCGAGCTCACTGCCGCCGCATTACCCAACAGTTCCTATAATGGGCATTATCTCGCTTTATTATATATTTATAAATAATATCCAATATCATGATGATTGTGCCTTATAATATCGCAAATATTCATACTGTATTAGTGATGTATTTCAAGACAACGGCGTACTAGAAATCTTAACATGTAAATGTTTCTTTGAGCAAATTGCGCACAGAAAACTCACAAGTTTCATCCTTAATGGCACTCGTATCTATTATTAACGAGTTGAAGGAGTAAAGCCTAAAAATAACGCTTTACCGAATTGATCTTGTTCATTTGTATGCAAATTAGAACCGCCGCGTGTTGAAGGGAATAGTTCTTAAATAAATTTTTGTTTCGCTGGTGGAATAATGTAGATCTTGTTTGTGGGCGTTAAGTTGTTACAGGAATGTTCTAATTTATTGTTGAAAAACACCAAATGTCTGCGCAGATTCATCAGAGTGCAAATATCGGGTTTGAATGATTCGAATTTTTTTATTGTAGGATTTCACGAAAATGATTTTTATAATATACTTATTGTATAATTGACTGTTCAGTGGGGATTTTCTTCAAGTTCATCATTCGTGATTATATATAATTGGTATCATTATGAAGCAACTATAAAAAGAAATGATTATACGTCGTAAGAAGCCATACGAAAACGTATTTGTTTTCTCATGTCATTGCTCAAGCACTTAATTCCAATACGCAGCATTTAGATTTAAATGAAGTTCCTGTGAACAAGTTATTTGAGTCTTTATTAGAGTCAGTTACCAACGAACTTTTCAGATGGCTTCCTGTTACACTCTACTGATGTTCACTATTAAAAAAGTTCGGCAATACCTGTTCTGTTTTATTGTTTCTATACCACGGCCGCTGCAGGCGTCAGCTGAAACGACGGCCGCTCAAACCTACAATCCGGAACGGCGATTGCGTGCCTTCGGGAACTCCGGGAAAAGGTTGTTCTGTGCGATGGTGAAATATATTGCACCATGCACCATGATGATGGTCAAAAAGGTTGCACTGAGCCCCTAGGTGATTGTAGAAAGATTACTCCGTGCACTATGGCGATGGCAGATGGATTGCACTAGGCGCCATGATGATCGTAGAAATGATTGCATTGTGCAACATGGTGATGGTGAAAAAAGTTTCACTGTGCACCATGATGGTGGTCTTGAAAGTTGCACTGTGTACCATGGTGATAGAAGATTGCACTGGGAATCAAGGTAACGGTGATAATTCAATTGGGCAACGCGGTGATGGCCAAAAAGGTCGCTTTGTGCACCATGGTAATGGTGAAGAAGTACTTTAAAATAAATTATATTAGCGTCCACTTAGTTACTTGTCACGCTCCTGCCTTTTCCTAGGGCTGTTCTCAATAGACCTTGAGATGTCATTTTACGGCACATTTGGCATTTGGCACACTCGAGTCTCAGCTGATAGTCTAGGCCCTATGGGGTTCGTATTGATAATCTCGTGTGTTTCTGTGATGTCGGGCAATGCATTTGGATTTTGCATATTATTAATCTACTCGACTAGTTCCTGGATATCCATATAATTTCTTGTGCGTATTTAAAGTCACTTTAAAGGAAATTTTGTCAGCTCACAGAAATGGTTGTAGAGATGTGAATGGCATGAAGGTATAAGTTTCATCACACAAACTTCGAAAAAAATTAACATTCCTGTTTTTCGCCACGCTGATCATTCAATATAATTCATCACTGTTCTGTAGAAACCATCAGAAATATTCACAAAATGAATTAATGACGTGATCCCTAAAAAAGTTCTAGTGAATTCACTCGTAACAAACGGCAGCAGTTCGAGCACCAGCGTGTACTGGTTCTTCATAATTGTCGGCGTAACGATGTTATGCTGATAATATAATCGTTAGTGCGCCATAATTGACGCACTAACGCGTTTTTTGCGCACCCATAATTTAAAAGTTCGCGTTAACGAATTTTTTTACGCACCAAAACATTTATGGCATATCAACGCAATGCCATATCATTCACACGAATAGCGCTTTTTAAAAGCTGTCGGGACACTTCCGTTAATTGCTGAGCAGCGGTAATTACCGCTTGCGGCTGCGCTCGTCTGCTCTTTTATCGCTCGCAGCCGGAAATAATTTTCTTTATTTCTGGGATCGACAATATCCGGTTCGATCTCGGTCGGCTGCGCGACCCTCAGTGTTTCTTAGGGCCCGGTCCCTCTTTTGCCCTGACGTGTTTTCGTCGGCCGTTCGTAGCCAACGGAGGATGGGATACTCGCTGCGCCATCGATCTCTGCCCTGACAACGCGCGAGGCTGTGTAAACCTTGCGGGCCGTGCAGTCTCTTCAGAGTTGCTTTATTCTTAGGACGTTAATCTGTGAATAAAATACTTAAATTACTTATTATCTCATGTAAGCCTTTAATGCTTGTAAGTTACACAAAATATTTTAATTCCTATTCAACGGAGTATCGTTGCTATCTGCCTTGATCACATTTATTTTGGCCGAGGAGCGATGACTTTTTCATTTGTTTGTGGTCATATTTATCTCGTCGATGGCTCTGACAATTACACTATAAAATTATTGTGGAAAATAATCGCTACAAAAACGAACCAGGCTTAATTTATCTCTCGGGAACGAACAATAACTTGTTTGTTTTCCAAAGATTATATCCGCGAACGAGCATAAGAGGAGAGTTAAAAGCTAAAAACATAATTTAAAAATTTTTTATTACCCAAAGGGTTTCTTCAAATGCTACATCTGGTAAATTATTGTTTAATATTAGAAGTGCAATATTCAAAATTTGTTTACTTTATTGAAACAAAATTGATTTAAAATTGGCTATTGTGTGAGCCCAAGGGTGTTAAGAAACCTCATACATATTTAAGCCATGTCTTCATAATTACGTCGCAAAGAAGTTGCTTTTACCTTTCAGCATAAGATGTTATTTAATCTTTAAGCCTTCTTTAGCGTCCTCTTATTCAAGAGACGCCATATTTACGAGGCAAGCTTTACGAGTTCATTATTATTTTTAATGTAAAGTTTGATTCATCTGATGCGAGACAACGGAGGGCTTAATTCAGAGCCCATACGATATATTGCTACATATTTTTGTTTACAGCGTGAAAAAGAAGTGTTCATGCTCGAGTTAGTAACAACAAGTGCGCAAGGCTGTTATTAAAATTTATTCCAACTGAACGTCAATGCGTCACATGAGATATCACGTCTTATCACTCCATGTCATAACAACGGAGCCGACCTAGCCAGCCTCGCCATTATGGTGCTCTCCAGCCGCACCAATGTGATGGCGCAGCGCACCGCTCTCTAGCCGCACCAATGTGATGGTTCAGCGCACCGCTCTCTGGCCGCACCAATGTGATGGTTCAGCGCACAGCTCTCTAGCCGCACCAATGTGATGGTGCAGCGCACCGCTCTCTAGCCGCACCAATGTGATGGTTCAGCGCACCGCTCTCTGGCCGCACCAATGTGATGGTTCAGCGCACCGCTCTCTAGCCGCACCAATGTGATGGTTCAGCGCACCGCTCTCTAGCCGCACCAATGTGATGGTTCAGCGCACCGCTCTCTAGCCGCACCAATGTGATGGTTCAGCGCACCGCTCTCTAGCCGCACCAATGTGATGGTTCAGCGCACAGCTCTCTAGCCGCACCAATGTGATGGTGCAGCGCACCGCTCTCTAGCCGCACCAATGTGATGGTGCAGCGCACAGCTCTCTAGCCGCACCAATGTGATGGTGCAGCGCACCGCTCTCGCTCTCCCTGAGGTTATGTCTCCAAGGGTTCGAGATTATATGTGTTTTGGCTGGTCCCTCTTCACAGTTGCCGAGTAATATATCGCAGCTACAATAATCAATAACAGCTAATTGTTTACTGACGAATAGACTATCAAAAACGATATAATGTCAGCCGTTCGTTTTACTAATCATATTCTTAATTTCAAACTCAAAATTTCAATTCCGTTTAACATCTGTTGATTTTAATCAATTACATAATGCGTGTATGAGAATTGAAACTCTCAATAATTTTGATAATTAACTCTTGCGCGTACAAAATGAAGCTTTCCTCGGTGTCGAGCGGCCAATATTGCGTATTAATTGACATTCGCCATAAACAGCGCACACATATGGAGTCTCTCTATGGAGCTGTAAACTAAATTGCCCCTTCAACTGATGACCTCTGGGGCACTCGGAGAAGTGTCGCTGTGACGTGGTATGATGGTCGTCCCTGTAGCTTTTCGTTGTTCAATTGGCCCTTGAGCGAAATACGCCATTTGGAGAGATTTTTTTCCAAGCGGGGATGAAATTTAATTCGAATTCCCCACTCAGCTTTGAGAATTCAGTAACTAAACTCCGTAATTGCGTTGAGCATGCTTGGTTCGAGCCCAATGTCGTGTGAAGGCCAAACTTGCGATGCAATCAAATGAAAAGCGTCAACATGACCCCGGCTCCGGACGCTCAGTTATTAACTTCCAACATTCCGTCTGTCCATTGCGCCGCCATGCAGAACTGAGTTACGGAAAGCGTGCTAAAACTTTGGTCTTTTTAAGGACTATCGGTAATTACCGTTCGATGGAGTGCATGCGGATGCCCAATTCTTGACACAAGGGAGCAGCATATAGTCATTGATAGGAAATTGTTTCTAATATAAATTTTTTCATATAAATTCACCAGATTTAGTTGGGCATAAATGGTTAATTAAGTCACAGCATGATCAATTTAAAAAACAGCGAGCAATTATTTGTTTTCCGTTTTGTATAGCTGTATTTGGTTAAAAATAGTTTACGCCAGTTCTACCAGCTTGTTGGAAGTAACTTAATTCGTGCCAATAAGCGAAGATGATGACGCGAAGTCTTCTCACGTGGACACGCGTTGTTGCAATCACGTCACCTTGACAACGTAAGTCATCTCAACCAGAATTTATTATCCAGTGAAGCGAAAGCACCTGCGACGCTGCTTCTCTTGATCGAGAGCTGCTCTGAGGGGCGACCTGCGAATCGTGCCCCGGCGTGATTACTATTGATATTTAGTTGTATGTGGAGAGACGAGGTTCTTTTCGTGGTAGGAATTTCAATAAGCGTGTCATAAAATTTAAATGAGTCATGAGGGATTTATTTACGAATAACGAATGGCAGAATCTTGATCAATTATAAAAAAATGAGTTTGCTTGTGAATACTAACAGCGTAATCGCAATTAACAGCAAGTCGTCACTAATCCTGCAGCTTCATTCCAAGAGAATTAAAGCTAAAGCCTTGTAGGTGTCTCCATAGAGATCCAGTGCCGATGCGCTGTAAAACTGGCATTATATGATATTACGCACTGCTGTTGCAGCGCGTGTGTGAAGCAATTCCAGTGTATATCCATGAAGCAAATTTTGTCGAGATTTTGCCAAAATATGAAATTTTTGCTTTATAGGATAAGATTGGAAAACAAAAATGTGTTAAATATAGGAAAATGTAAAAGAATTACTTCGTTCCAATTCACGGCGCAGGCGCCTTTATAGGAGAAAAACACTGAATTGAAACTACAGTTAATTCCTCGCCAGCTCCACACAAATGTCTCATGCGTATAGATATATTAGATATGTTTTACTTCTGGCTACCGTGAAACATATGCAAGAAAAATTACGATGAACATCGTAACCTGCTCCATTCACTATATTTTACAATGACACATCTATGGTTTTGTGTGAGTTTGTCGGTTTGACTGCAGAGGGATTTTTTAAAATATACACGATTATAGTCTTCGATTTAAAACAATTGTTTAAGATTTGCATCGTTATAGTTTGTTTCTGGCTCAGGAAGTGCACAGGGGTTATAATTGTGCAATAAATATCGCGTCG